CTGCTTCGGGCTGACCTTGACTGTGTGTAGAACAGTGTTTGGCATCCCTGTATCCTGACTGGTCTTGATGTCAGGATCCTCACCTCTCAGGCAATCAAAGTCATCAGCTTCTTTCACACATGAGGACTTCAGAACTTCAGCCTTAATTAATAACTCGTTAACATGAAATGAATTACCAGTCAGTGAAAAAAGTAGCCCTCGAGTATTTTGAGAGAGAATACAGTGATTTTAAACAGATTTTAAACCTTTTATGCTTAAAGGTATTTCCGAAAGTGTTCATAACTCCTGTCTGGTAACAGGTATTGCTTGACGCTCACATAACAAAAGTAGATGCCGGGACTGCGTTAGTAAGTCAGTGAGTTAATGGCATTCGTTCAGGAACAGAAGTGAGATTACGTATTAGACTCCGCACGTGTATGTATATAAAAATACGCATGAGAAAGTATGACCTACTATAATTAGATTTGGACTGTGCATGGTTATTAAAAATATTCACTCCACATTTGGGGGTGGTTCATTTCTTTGACTGATGGATTTACTAAAAGTAAGTGGAAATGCCTCAAAGTGTGGCCAGTGGCCCGGGACTGCTCACACGTGGCACGAGATGCCCCACGGGCCTGTTAAGCCAGCATGGCAGCTTCCACAGTGTTGTGGCTCAGGCCGTGGCTGACTGGTTTGCCTCAACGTTAAAGCAGGTGTCTTCATGTGGGTTTATGCTGAAAGGCAAGCACTGTGTTTGGATCCCAGAAACGATATTTCTGACCCTCTGTAACTTTTTTTTTTTTACTTAAACAAATATGTTTCTGCATTATCACAGAAAATACTTTTGTTTCTTTATGTCACAGTTACTTGTTTTTTCTGAAAGCAAATTTAACTGATATCAAATATAGTTGATAGGTATATATATTTAAAAAGATATTTACTCCTTTAAGAGAAAATCGGAAATGTTTCGCTTCTGGAATGAGACTCCTTCTCTGCATATTTTTGGAAGGTTTTATGACTCGAACTAACCAAAGTTCAGGAGTAGAGGTGGGTTGAGTACACTGGGCTGGTGGGGTTGTGGGGAGGTAGGTGTGAGCCTGGGCAACAGCGGAACCCACTCAGCTTCTACAGACAGATCCAGAGAGAAAGAGACTGTCAGCTTCTTGTTCACGAACACAGGCCCACAGCTCCCAGACACTCTCATTTTCTAAGTGACCCCAGAACCCACCAGTTTTAAAATGAAATCTCGCAATTTAATTCTACCTTGAAAAAAAGTGCCGTCAACTAAGTAAAAACTTACCTGTGACATCAGCCCGGACTTCAGGCTATAGTCCGTGGACCTGATTGAAAGTTTCACCTTTATTGCTCTGTGTCCATGGATACACCTTGATGTGGCCCAGATTCAGTCATGCTGTTTCAGTTTAGTCCCACAGTTGGGAAGCGGATGTGGTGGGGCTGGGGGACCTTCACGAGCTATAGCGCTCTGAGAGTCTGCCCTCAGAAGGATTGTGCATAGCTGGTCTAGTGTCTTCCATCTGGAGACCAGGAACATGCGGTCTTGCCAGGAGGTTCTTCACTCCACAAGTTCCAGGTCGGTTCCTTGGGTACTCTCTCGGGAGACAGAAGGTGGACTCTGAGCCTCACCCCCAGAGCTGATCCACCAGCATCTCATGGATTGGACTCGTCCTTGAATTTTGCTGGAGAAACAGCTGGTAGTTTGAAAGCCAGTGCATGAGCTGCAGGTCCCTGTTGCTTCTCACTAGTGTGTAGACCTGAAGGAATCTCTCCCTTCCTTTTTTGGCAGTGTGATGTTTGGCTTTGAGATGAAGGACTTGTAAACCTAAGGTGAGTTCTTGATCAGCCCCCTCCATTGGAACATTTCGTGGTCCCTTGTCTGGAGTTGAGATTGACTTGGCTGTCCTTACATGTGTATTGATACTTATTTCTGAAGCTTAATTTCAAGGAGTCAGTGACAGATGCACTGAAGTACTTTCCTCTGACTTTTAAAGGAAATTGTTCTGGAATGTGTCTAGGCTGGCTGTCATCAGAGAACCGCTCTTCAGGGAGAAGGAGCAAGAGAAGCGGTGCTTGCTGAGCGCCATTTTGTCATCATCAGCACAAAGATGGAGGGACAGACAGAGTGAAATTACTTTCTGTTTTTCAGGTGTTTGGACCTTGTGTGCCCAAAGCTGGTATAAAATGAGGTCTGTGGACAGATTGTACACTTAATAATGACTTCTCAGAAGTCTGACTGGGTGTTTCAGTGGGGAAGGAATCACCTCCTTGACACCTTACCCACATGGCAGGTGTCCCTGCAGGTAGGGCAGGCCCAAAGGTGCCTGGCACAGCAGTCAGGGTCCCGGCCAGGGAGGTGTCCCCCACCTGCTTGCAGGCATCTTGTCATTGTTGTTTTCCACTGCTCCTTTTCCACCTTTCCGGAGTCCTTTCGCCCACCGTAACAATGTCGGCAGTATCTGGAAGCCTTTTGTCTGCTCAGAATTCATGTAATGAAACCAGAACCAGGTGAAGGCAGCCCCGGCAGCCACTCTTGGGAGATGCCTCTTACCCAAATGCACCTTCATTTGGTGGCTGTGTGGGATTGAGGTAGAGAAGGGGAAGAGAGGCAAGAGGACAGTGCAGGCACCAGGGCTGGCAGAAATGTACCAGCACAACCCACAGGCACCAAGGGCCAAGGAGAGAGGGGGCCACCAAGCAAGATGACTGCTCAGACAAGGGGCCCTGGAGTCAGCACCCGCCCTCACCCTCCCCTCTCTTTTAGATTCCTGCCATGCTCACCATTGGTTGGGCCCAGTGAGAATCTAGAAGGTCCTGGAGCCCACAGGTGCAGCCCATACGGGTGCCTTCCCAGGAGGAGAGCAGGGCAGAGAAGGGTGTGGCAGGAACATGGTGAGCACGGGCTGCAGGAGGGGATCCCGCAGATGGGAGTGTCTCCTCTGCTCCGCGGGGTTGCTGCTTTCTGTGGGGTCTGAATGCCCTATCGTAATAGGGATCTGGCTAATGCACACAATACCCAGAGGACAGCCACAGGGTGGCCTCAGTGGTGGCACATGGAGAATACAGAGAGGAGCGTGAGTGCTACCCTCTGTGCCACCTCACCGGCCCTGGGCTGCTCCTCCATGTGTCTAAGATGCCATACACCTAGCCCACCTCCTCAGGCTGCTGTGAGGCCTGGTGCAAGAGCAAGCGTGGGAACACCACATGGCACTGTCATTCAAGATCGGGGGACTCCACGTGACACCGTGTGTTTCTAGGGCATCGGGGCGCACCCAAGCCCCGAGATTGAGCTCTCAGAACATCAGGGCTTGGGGGCATGAGAAACTGCTTCAGGATCCTGCATGGAAGCCGGGCAGCCCAGACCCGAGGCTTCCCAGGCACCGTCCTGTGCCCCTCCCACGTGAGTCCCTGGATACCCGTGGTATGCCGTGGTGGCGTTTTGGTTGTGATTTTTTTGTTTCATGGTGGAGATTTTCCGGCTGGAGTGTTTTTTTAATTAATGTGCACACAGATCGATCGGGATCTTACTAAGAGGCAGCTGGCGGGTGGGGCCTGGGATTCTGCATTTCTCACGTGCCCCTTGGCGATGCTGCTACTACTGTAGGTTCGAAGACCGTGGCTTTCGCATCCTTCCCTCCCTGGGGCATTGCTTTGGACCTGTTTCTGGAATCAAGTAGACCTGCCTATGAATAATTTCTCCTATGACATTCAAAATGTACTCAGTTCAGACAACAGCATAAAGCAGGTATCTATTTTCTTAAGGCAGAACTCTGTTCTTCAAACGCCTCGTTGTTGATCGCTGACTTGGTGTAGGCTTGGACGCTGCTCTTCAGCTCATGATTCTGTGGCTTCCCCGTGCTGCACGGGATTACAGTGAGGCCACCTGTTTGAGGGAGCCCTGGTTCCTGCCTCTGGCTTCTCATCCAAATCACCGGAGTGCTTTTGAAGATGCATCTTTTCCCAAGCCCCATCACCAGAGCTCCTGAATCAAAATCTGTATTTTTTGAAGCCTCTATTTTTAAAAAAGCTCCACAGGAAATTCTAGTAATTGGCCAGATTTAAGAACTGCTAATATGAGCTGCGAATTTATTATAAAATCCTGCGCTGCGAAAAACTTCTACTGAGACAGTTTAGAACTTCGTTGGTTCTGAACTAAAACAATTGAAAGAAACATTTAAAAAAAATACCCTAATACCTCTGAATATCTGCAAATAGACCAACAGACTAATTCACTGGCAGCAAGGTGTGTTCAGCTGAGCTTTAGAGAAAGGCACTTAATTATGTTTTTGAGTCCGAAATTGGTATGACCAGATAATAATTCATTTTGATGTTGAGCAACTGATTCAAATCATTAAGTATACAATGGAATCATTTTTCATCACAGCCATGTGCGCTGTGAAGTCGCGTAGGTTATTTTTCCTCCGCTTAGTCTTTTCAAGGTTAAGAGTAAACTTAATCTGGTCGAAGAGTCTGCGTTTCCTCCATGTCGTGTCGAGGGACTTTGATTTGTGTTGATCATAAAGTATGGCTTCCCCATGAAAACAATTCTCTGGCACCAGACAATGATCACTCTCAATGGGTGATCATTTTCTGTTCCATTGATAGGGTGACACGATCGGGCTCCTGGAGCCCGGGTCAGCCGGCTTGCCGGACCGTGGTGCCTCTGCCGAGATGGACTGGGTCTTTTGTCTTCACTTCCACTGGATGTTGTGATTGCGGTTGGGTTCCGTCTTTGTATAGGGCTGTCTTGTGCGAGTCATCTGCGGCATCGGGTCCCCTCGCGTTGCTTTGTCAGGCACCATGGAGATTGGCGTCCCCCTTTTACTCCTCCCTAGTATTTCTGTCTGGTGCTTCTCTTGACCATGCAGGCAGGGCGAGGGCTGCTGTCGGTGGTAAGGCACACTGCGCGCCAGTGTGTGGGGCCCACAGACTGCCTCACGCTGGCTTCTGGCTTCTGTGGTCTGCAGTCCGCGGTGGTGTTCACCTGACTTGTTTATTCCTAGGGAATGTCACTAGTGCATCTGGGTCTCAGATGGCAAGCGGCATCAGCCTGGTCTCCTTCAACAGCCGACCCGACGGCATGCACCAGCGTTCCTACTCAGTCTCCAGTGCCGACCAGTGGAGTGAGGCTACAGTCATTGCAAACTCGGCCATCAGCAGTGGTAAGAGGGGGCGCAGCCCCACGGACCCGCAGCCACCTCAAGATCCTTCGTTGTAAGCCAGGGCCCAGACAGGACGCCCTAAGCTCTCGTGCTCCTCTGGGAGTGTGGCACCCCGCGGGGCAGCTGCAACGGAGACTCACATCTTGCCTTTCATATCTGTGGAACGTTTTGTCCTTGGCTAGGCTGTCTTGCCCATGTCATCTCATCTGTTCCTCTGGCACAGGGAGGAGGTGGCCATCCCATTTGATCCATTTGGAAACTGAGGCTGCAGACAGGGCCAGTGGCTTACGCAGGGTCACGTGACAGAGGTGGCAGAGCTGAGAAAGAATATCTGATTTTGTCTCCCCAGTCACACTGCCCTGCACGGCGTGGCCTGCACCTCCACCACGAGTACACGTTTTATATCATTAGGGTGAATTCAGTCTTCCAGAATTGCTGGTGTGTACTCTCAGTTCTGAAGTCGCCTTTGTAATCCCTCTGTGTTCAGATTGTGAATTCAGTCTTCCAGAATTGCCGGTGTGTACTCTCAGTTCTGGAGTACCCTTTGTAATCCCTCTGTGTTCAGATTCCTTCGCATTATTACTATTTTGACAGCTGTAGCCAGTTTTTTGGGGTACGTGGCGCACAGTGGAAACGATCTTGCCGTCTGCGTGAAGCATGCATGACGCAGCACCGGGGCCGCCCTGGCGGCTGCAGCAGGGTTTGCCTGTGGCGTTTGTCTCTGGCCTGTTCACCGGTATTTAAAGGAATTCCCACTGCTGTATGTATTCTGTCAGACAGGGTTTCGAGTAATCTTGGCATAATTTGTTCTAATTAAAAGATTCAGCATCAGGTCTTCCCTGTAGACCCGCCAGCTGCTGCAGCAGGACGTTTGCTCTGGGTAAACGTCATCCTTATTTCTAGTGGCTCCATCTTCCTCCACAGATGCCACCAAGCAGAAGCCTTAAAGGAAGACATCTCCAAACCGAGCCGGGAGACGCGGGGTCAGCGAGGCTGCTCCGCACAGTAGCTGTGAGGGTCTGGAAAAGCCTGTGACTTGGAGCAAACACACAGAACGTCACGCGGCTGCCCCAGCTGGCCCGTTCCCTCCCAGCACCGGGGCTCCTTCGTCCCGCAAAAGAAGGCGCGTTGGTAGAAAGCAGAGGTCTGCCTGCAGCCTCCTCAGGGCCTCTCCAAGGCTGTCTGCCTGTTATCTGGAATCACAATGATAACCCTGAAAACCCCAAAGAAGGAGGTTTTAAGTTATGACAAATTAACCACCTATAGTTTGCTCCCTTCATGACCATCGCGTGCCCCAGCGGGCCTGGTAGTCAGCCTTTCATCAGACCTGTGTGCGCTGCAGCAGAAGCCCCTCCACCTGCCAGCTAGGCAGCCTTGAGCGAGCCTCCATGCCTCCCTGAGCCTCCGTGCCTCCACGAGCCCCGGTACCTCCATGAGCCTCCCTGCCTCCCTGAGCCTCCGTGCCTCCACGAGCCCCGGTACCTCCATGAGCCTCCCTGCCTCCATGAGCCTTCATACCTCCTGGAGCCTCCATACCTCAATGAGCGTCCGTGCCTCCATGAGCCTCGGTTTTCTTATCTGTTCAATGGACACGTTTTCCCCTCCCTTACATAGTAGTTAGGCATGTGTCACAACATAGGACACCTGGCTCTTTGTGACTGAAGAGCCACTGTTCTCACAGTTCCTTTAGGAGGAGCAAGGAGTTCACATGTTTGTTTCATTACCAAATACTTTAAAATATGCATTATCAATCAGCATTACTATTTGATAAGGTTGAATTCTGTGGCCGCCGTCTCGTGAAGGTGTGCTTGCGTAGGACCATATTTGAGGGCGTGGGAAGATCCACGCTGGGCCTTCCCAAGCCAGGTGTACAGGTGACACGGACAAGGCCTTGTTTTGCCAAGCAGCCTCTGCTGAGTGAGAGCACTGGAGGTGCCAATAATACAGGCCTTTAATTAAGTATTCATCTAAAATTCTTCCTATGCAGACTTTTGCACGCTTACCTGTTTGATAAATACACACTAGGTAACTTTCTCTCTACTGAAAAGCTCTTTGTGTTGAGCTGTCCATATGTACAGTGGGCGTTTCCACACCGCCACATCATGGAACACTGATTTCCAGAGTCTTGGTTTGGTTGGAAGTCTCTTTCCACAGAAGTGGGCTGCCTTATCTGCACACACACATTTGTACAGTATCCATGTGAGACTAAAGTCTCCTACGTTTGAATGCCAGTTTTTTATTCACAAAGCAGTTTCTGTAATATTAACACACATGGGTGTCCATTAAAGACCAGTATGCTCTCTGACCTCACAAATCTTGAACGCTGAACACAGAAGATAAGAAATACAAGCGGATGCCCCAGGTGTCAGCCTGCTGAGGGACATGGAAGGAGAGCTGTAGGGAGAGCCCAGGGCTGAAATTGTGCAGGTCATTTAAGGATTGATAGACTTGATCAAGGAAAGCTTCCCAAAGAAAATCAAACTTGAGCAATGCTTAAAGAACCAGATGGATTTTTTGTGCAAAACAGCAGGAGGAAGTTATTATAAGCATTGGGGCACTTTGGACAAAGACCCAGAGAGGAGGAAAAGGGAAGATGGAATAGCCACGAGCTGCAGTGAAGTGAAAGGTGATAGTTGGGGTGCAGGAACACGAGGAGAGGCAAGAAGAGATGAATGTTGAGAGGCCAGCACTGCCACGGGAGCATCTTATTTTCAGACTTGAAGCTGACATTTTCCAGAGCAAAGATCCAGAAAGACCACAGAACAGTGCACAGAAGTCTGATTCCTACAGTTTTATGGGGGTCTTGGTTCATTTCCTGTATTTTCTAAAGATAAATAATATGTCATACCCAAAGTATTTTGAAAAGGAGGATGATAACAGTAATAATAAAAGCCATGATTTATTGAGGGTTTTATGTAGATAATCTCATTTGGTCCTCACGGAGTAGATCTTGTTGTTACCTCCCTTCCACAGGCGGGGCCTTTGGTACAGAAGGGTTAAGTATCACTTGCTCCAGGTCACATCCTGGGAGGGGCCAGTATTCAAACTCAGGTGGCCTGATTCAGCTCTTCATCATTGCATGTCCAGGTGTGCCTCTGGGAGCAGCAGCAGCCCCTGAAAACTGCTTAGAAATGTCCATTCTCAGGCCCCGTCTCAGTCCCACGGAATCCAGTCCTCAGAGGATAGGAGCCAGCCACCTGTGCATAGCAAGCCCACTGGGATCATGTGACATGCTGAAGGTTGGGAACGATTGCTCTATGTCCTCACTTCCCAAAGCATGATCCACGGACCATGTGGCATCTGACCGCTCCGGGGATTTGGCTGGTGATGCAGAATTCAGGCTCTAACCAGACCCGCTGGACACATCCTTGTCTCTGTGCCGAGGGCACATCCCAGCTTCCCTCTGGTTTGTGCCATTCCTCACTTTAGTGTGCTGATCCACCAAGTAGCGAGACCCCAGCAATCTTTAGTGAACACCAGGACACAGGATCTGATGGACAACTTCAAGAAAACCTGTTTATGAGTGGATTTCAGGACCTCAGCCTTGGCATAAACGTTCCCTACAGGGCTTGGATAATAACCACAGAAGAAACAAACATGATGGAGAGCTTTCTGTCATGCTTTTTCTTCTTAAGTTGTAGGTGATGTAGGTCCCCTGCTCCCATCCACTTCCTCTGTAAATGTATCTGCCCCCATCCCTAGTCTTTGGTTTGGATTTCAGAGTCATGAACAGCTTACTGTGTGCTAGCAGCAGGAATGAATAGGGAGAGGCCAGGCAGCTTTGGAATACAGATGCCCGTGTTAGCAAGTATGCCTTCCCATTGTCGCGCACGCTTATTCTAAAACATGATAATCATGACAACATTGGCATTCAGTGTTACTCTGCCCCCCTGTCCACCCTAAATTAAGACTTTGGCTCTGGAGAACTTTTCAAAGTCTCCTCTCTAGACACACAGGTCCCTCCGGGGTTTCTGCCTTTAAAGCAGCTGTGAGCAACTCCTAATTAGATAGATTCCTTTGTAGGGGCAACCTACAAAACAGGAGGTGCTGCTTAAATTAAGGGAAGAAGAAAAGAGGAATCTATTCCATGAAATGGAATGCCCACTGCTTTATAACTATTACTGTTGTAAGGTTTCACATTTAAGTACCTGAGGTTTAAAATTAAATGTCTAATATAATTTGGCATTGCTAACATGAGACTCGCATCTGCCCTTAGAGAAAATGCAGACAGCTCGGTTGAGGGCTTCAAATTGCCGTCTGCCGGCTTGCGGGCAGCACAGAGGATTAGATGCCTCCTCTGCTGAGCACCACATGCTGCTGAGCGTAATTTTTTAAATGCAGAAACATATTCATCTTGAGCCTCTGCATTGAAAAAGGCTGTTCTAGGAGTACATGAAAAATTAATTTTTTTACATTTTTTCTCACTCTTCTAAGTGTTTGACAGAAGTAATTTTTGCAGCAAGAGAGAATAAAAACTGGTGGCTGTAAATTCCTGTCCTGCAACCTCTTGTGTAGATTCTTTATGGACCCAGAATTGATCTACATGTCAGATCCTGTTGTGGTTTAAACTGTTTATCACCGTAATGGCAGTAGTGAGCCCATGAACACCAACTTATAATCCTGGGTGAAAGAAATTGGTGTTTGCAGTCAATGAAGGGGCAGCTTTGCTTTATTGATAGATTCAGAACAATTATCTCTGCAACAACTATTGGCTGAGGGTTCTCTTGAATCTTATTGGAAGGCTGTAATTTTTTTTTGATTAATCATTTCCTCCATAGGTAATTTCCTCTAGAAGCGTTAGCCCCGAGTCAGCATCACTGTGGGTAGCAGGGGCCCTGGGGGGTCGTTTGTAGCACCCTTGGTCCTCATATCTTACTTCAAGGCAAGATGCATGTTGAGACGCATCACACCTGTCTCAGGGCAGAGCGCAGCCTGCCGGCCTCCTGAGTTCCTGAGTGAGCCTGGCCGGCCCTCCCCGCCGGCCCCTACCTGGCCCCTGC